CCCTCCGACCCCCCACAGAGAAGTCACTGCTGACTGAGCTTCCCATCCTCCCAAGAGAAGGGCTAGCTTCAGACTAAAGTCTAACAGCAACAGTTCAGCCAGAGATTTCTTTGCTAATGTCATTATTTAAGATTAAGAGGAAGGCTAGAGACACGGTCTCAAGCTTTTTGGTTCTGGTAAACTACCACGTATTCCAAGCTTGGCTTATAATCCCATCAAAGACCGCACTGGCACTCCCTTCTAGAAAAATATCCCCAAAGAATGTGCTATTCTCTGTAAGTCTAGAAACTAAGTCACAAGTGATAGCCTGGTAGCACAAACAATGTTTTCATGATTTTGCATAGAATGAATAAACTCAATTCTTAGAGGGTTGCTGTAATTCTGGTCTTTGTTTTCAGTTTGTTCCCTAGGGAAAAAGAAGCAGCTTTACTGCAAAGTACATATTCTGCAACTGAATGGAGGCAACCTAAGGTTATGAAGGGATGCACATACACTAAAAAAAAAAAGCTGCATAGTATGCAACTCTTTTATTGCTTTTGCAATAAAACCTAATAGACTCATTTTAAGCAGGAGAATATGTACAGTCATTCTGAATGCAAGGAACTACACATGTGTCACTGAAATTCAAGTCTTCCCTTTTTCCTTCCTACTTTTTCTGTGTTTTATATAAAAGGTAACCTGCAGACCATACTTATAGACAACATGTATCAAGGAGCTTCAGTTAGAAAAGTTAACTGCTACAATTTCATCCAAAGCAGTAACCAGTCAGTGCAAGGAAGAAAAACTTCCTATAGTGATGGACATACTGCTTTGCTGATCATATTGCCAAATTTGAGGCTTCAGAGACTACATAGTATTTTGTAAATAAACTCCATCACTTTATCTAGTGATGGTACAGTACCTGCTTCAACTCTGGTAGAGCACATCTTAACGGCTATGGGGACATGAGCAAATCTACATCTTGGTGGCTATCACAGTCAGGTCCCAAATCATTCCTGTTACTCTATAAAAGGACAGCATGACAGTTTAGGCTTTGATAAGCAAAAGTTCACACTGCATCATATCAAATAATAGAATAGAAGCTTCTACTCTGGACACCAAAGGTTTTGGGGAAAGTACTGGTCCTGTAGTCTTGTGTGGGAATTTGCCTTGCACTCCAAATAAAACAGCTTAATTGTCTTTTTTAGAAAGCTTTATTTTAACAGACAAAGGCTTTATCTTCAGTGTTATTGCAGGAAAGCACCCAACAAGAAAGGACAGAATTATTCCACATGCTGGTGTTCTTGTCTACTTGGAGATGCAGCCTGCACCTGTCACAGAGTTTGTCATACTAGCTTGGCCAAATGTGTAAGTACCTCAGAGGTCCTTTCTCCACAACAGGTAATCAGAGGAAGTCCATAACTTAGAAGATGACTTCTCAACCTTTTTTCCTTCTACCAAAGCCTGAAGGACACTTAGTCATTCCCATTAAAAGTCTTCAGAAGTGGATTAAGTTCAGGGTGCCTACATAGAATATCTGAAATTGGAAGGGACCCATAAGGATTATCAAGTCCAACTCCCTGCTTCTCACAGGACTACTTAAAACTAAATCATGTGATCGTCCAGATGTTCCTTGAACTCTGACAGGGTTGGAGCCATGACCACTTCCTTGAGGAGCCTGTTCCAGTGACTGACCACCCTCTCAGTGAAGAGCCTTCTCCTAACATCCAATCTGAGCTTCCCTTGAGGCAGCTTCATTCCATTTCCTTGTGTCCTTTCACTGGTCACCAGAGAGGAGATCAGCACCTCCCCCTCTACTGCCCCCCTTGAGGAAGTTGTAGACTGCCATGAGGTCACTTCTCAGCCTTCTCTTCTCCAAGCTGAGTGACCTCATGTGTTGGTTTTGCGTGGCAAGGTTT